GTAATTGTCACCCACAAAGTTGTCTCTCAATACAGTGCAGAAAACTCCGTTTCTACCATTTATAAAAAAAATTATATCTGATTTTCTTTTGGGGTCCGCGCGGACCCCAGCCGGCTTTCGATCATAATGGATACACTGGCGTTCTTATACATTACCTTATTTCCGTCTTTATATGTTTTTATTGCATTCATTGTATGTCTACCAAGTTTTCTAGAGAATGGTGTAGTAATAGAATTGAATTTTAATAACTTTGGTGTAATTATGACGTCATATGGCGTCAGAGCTAATAATATAGTCCGCCATATTGGATTTTGACCAATGACGTCATCAAATTAGCATATTCTATGCATATTAAATGTTTAAACTTATATTTATTTATGTAAGATGTTATTAATGTTGGAAAAGAAGTGTAATTTTATATAAAACTCAGAAAATTTTTATGTTTAAACCAAATTACTTCTATTTTCAAAAAAACTACCCGTTGCCATGGCAACACAAAAAAAAAAAATCAACTTACTAGTATAAAAATAATATGAACTTTTTTCCAGATACATTTTAGGAAAGGTCTCCAAATTTGATACTTCTAGCGCAAGCCGTTTAGCCGCTATCTGAGATCAAAGTTGGGCCTCAAAAGCCCCTTCAGTCTGAAATGGGTTTAAAAATCAGGTATTGCTTCTTGTCTTCTTTTCTTCACCAAAAAATAGAAAAAGTTCAAAATGTATGATTTTTGTATGTAATGTGGACACAGAGGTTCCCACATCAGTTTGCAAAACAATTGAGCTGGTAGCATGTTGATAATTTCTAAAAATTAGAAAAAAACTGCTCTGGGGTCCGCGCGGACCCCAGGTGTACAGATTAATCAGTCCGGGAAGGTGTTCTGTTGAGGGTTAAGGGCATAAGATTCAACAATTAATACAATCGTAACCCGTATAGTTACCAGTTTGGTTAAATTTACTATAAAGTTTAATATCTACCTACCTAGTTGTTTAGGACAGTTAATACCTTAATTGTCAATTGCGGAACCCTAAAGCTAGCTATTCCCATGTGAGTACATTCACAAAGTGTCACCAATGCTGTCCTGTCAAGGTTACTAAATACAATTTGCCCCCTTTTTTGACAGACATGAATGAGTGCACGTCTGATCCTTGTCACCGGCATGCTGACTGTGGAAACACAAACGGCTCCTTCATCTGCACCTGTAAACAAGGTTTCCATGGAGACGGATTTGAATGCTCCGGTAAAAAACATACTGCATTATTGACACAAACTGCTGAATACTTTTCGATGATGCAATCATTTTCGATCGTGAATGAAAAAATCTGTTACAGGTTCGTTGTGTTCCATATTTCGCCATATGTTGATGCTGTATTTATTTCGTTTACATTCACATTCACACAGCTGTTTGTTTTATGATAGGAATTGAAGTCTCTTCTTGACTTTGTGTTCTTTGCCCAACAGAAACTGATGAGTGTGTTTCCGATCCCTGTCAAAATGGAGGTACCTGCAGGAACGGGCTTAATAAGTATTCGTGTGACTGTCCAAGTGAATGGCAGGGCGTTAACTGTGAAAGAGCTGAGCCATTCACTTCGTACCATTTGAACACAAAACCAAGAACAATGTTAAATGTTGTATGCTTATGTTGAATTCAACGTGATGCAATGAAGAAAATAAAAACCACTGATCATCTGCTATTGACATACGTGAGTCCTCGAAAATCTTATTCCAGTAGCTTGCAAAGTACGAAAAATGACCTATATGGTGTTTGTGTGTGTGTGTGTGTGTGTGTGTGTGTGTGTGTGCATACATTAACGGCTCAAAGAGCCCCTCATTTATATGTAACTCAGCCTAAAAATTCCTAACGTTTTTTTTTAATAATCGCCTAATCGTTACCAGCAATATAAGATTCCGAACTATATAGTAAACAATCTTGTTGTAGTGGTCTACATGTACATTGATTTCAAATCACACAGTCGTGAGAATAGTTTTCTGTAATAAACATTCTCTAAGATATGCATAGATATCTGCGCAGTAGATGACAGGCTCCTTTGATGTTTGCCTGCAGATGTTGATGAGTGTCTCATAAAAAAATGCCATCAGAATTCAGCCTGTAACAACTCACCGGGAAGCTACAGCTGTACATGCAGGGAAGGCTTCTATGGAAATGGCCTCACACGGGATAAACTCGTGTGTAGAGGTAAGTTATGATAATCTAATTAATATAGAGACTTTACAATTATACAAGATATGTAAGAGAATGTCAACGCGAACGTCTTCAAATTTTTATAGCATGCAGGAATAAATGTATAGTGGACAAAATGTAAAGTTATTTTGACATCTGTTTAAAAAAGAGAAGAAACGGGGTTTAATAGTAGGTGATAAATATGTTGTAGTATTGCTGTAAAGCATACACTCACTTAGTGCTTAATGTAAAGTTTCAGTGCCAACGCTATGTTTTATATCCTCTAGAGCACATATGGTCACATGTGCGTTTATCTTATCTGGGCTTGAATATGCAATAAAGACTACTTAATCATATTTAGCTGCGAACTGATGCTTAGCAATGTTAATCTTGATCTTAGGGTAAGGGGTTGGAATCCCAGTCTACCTGTTAAAACTGAAAATTTTGCTAATAAAGTTAGAAAGCCAAAGCAGTCATCACATCAAATTGATAGTCATGGTGTCAAAGTTGATATTGAATGACAAACTGTCCTTAAAAATGTAGGCTAATGCCTTTCAATGAATTAAGTTACCATATCAGTGATATAAATATTAGAATTTGTGTTTTGTTTCAGAAATCATCCTTTTCCCTTACGATGAAGAACAAGGGGACGTGTTGCTGCCTGACACAGACGACCGCAAGGACATCTCTCTACCGTCTCTGATTGACATCAGTATAGGGTTTCCCTTTTTTGGACAGTTCTACTACAGCCTTTATGTAAGATCACTTTTCTTCTCCTAGCCTCACACCACTTAGATCTATAGAACCTTGAGTATAAATTCTTTTTTTTTAAGTTGTTATGATTATCGCGAGTTTTGTGTGTCTCTTCCATAATTCAAAAGTATTTACGGTAATCCGATTAATTTTTTAAAGAAATTATTGAAATAAAGTTCAATAGTCACTATGTTCTTTAATAAGGAATAAATATATGTAAAATGTATATAAATTTACTAGGACTGCAAATTATGTGAACTTTGAAGACCTTGCCTTATCTTTCCATTAAGAGAAAATTTGTTTCCACACGACCGGCCTGAGGGCAGATTTGAGCTTCACATAAAAAAAGAATGGTTCAAAGAAAAACAAAAACGCATGTACATGATAGCTAGATAGAGTTGGATGTAGATAAAGACGTAAGGATGTCCTGACATAAGGTTGTGGCAATTATTCGATCCCTTTCTTTGCAGTTCTCCGATAACGGGTTGATAATATTCCAGCCGACGGCGCAGTCCCGTGCGCGGAGGGAACCCTACCCGAACCCCAGTCTGTTCAGGAGGAACCAGACCGTACAGGCAGGATTCCCTCCTATGGTAGCAGCGTCATGGGGAGATGTGGATCTCACAACGGACGTGGGGAAAGTCTGGTATCAGGTAAATGACAAACTTAAACAAGTAAAATATGAGATTTTATACCTACGGGCTTTTTATTGTATATTTTTATATGTTGGTTGCGCGCCGCAGGACTAGGGTTTTAAACAGAGAATTTATCGAGACCAGACACCCTTCTGTGCGAGGGGTCACCTTCGTGGACGAGACCGACAATGCGTAATACACGCCAAAGGTCAACGGTCGCGACCCCTTTCACGCTCAAAGGGGTGTTCTGGGGCCACCAAAAGGCACCATTTTCACGCCCGAAAATACAATAAAAACAAAAGAACGTGCATGGTATTCAGCCCAATAGCAAAAAATATACCGAGTCCCAAAAAAATCCGTCCACCCAAACGCGAGAAACAGCTGCGAACATGAAAATCTAAATCTCTCACAAAACCCTTCCGCGGAAGGATGTCTCCTCCCCCTGAGGTAAAAAAAACTCAGCAGTATAGAAGTAAAGACAATTGTTTGATCTTACTCTTATTAATATGATATTCTTAGGATTCTGGACGTGTAAATCACTAACAAAGTTTAACGTAAATTGTATTCATCATCACACCATAGAACTATATAGACATATTATCTATCATAGATGACCAACATTTATCATAAATATAAACTGTTACGAGTCAACAGATTGTTTTGTTAAGAAACAAGAAACTATTGTATGTTTACCTACAATGACTGATCCCTGTTTTTTTCTACCAGGTGTATTCTGATGACAACTCAGTAGACAATGTCACACAGACAGTGTTTGACATGTTTACTACGAGGATGTACCAGTCCTTCAGCGACACGTTTGTGCCCACCTGGGTACTGGTGGTGACCTGGGACAGTGTACCCTCTGTCGAGGCAATGTACACAAAACAAAACGTAAGTCTAACAACATATGATTAAAAAGAGTAAAATTGACAAATATGTTAATATGATTTTTTTTTACTTTTAAGCTTAACGAAAGCCTGTCTTTCAGTAAAGAAATTGATTTGTTCTTTGAGACGTTAGCTTTGAAAAGTCTAAAGAGATACTTGTTATATTATGAGTTGTCAGTATGAGTCTTGCACACCTTTATCAATGTTTTAAACTTAGTGTTATAACTGCATGCGCAAAGAAGTTAAGCCAATAGCATTTTTCAATAATGTCATGTTTCTTCTTTCAGCCAAACACATTCCAAGCCGTCCTGGCCACCGATGGATCAGATTCCGTCGCTTTCCTGACTTATAAGGAAGACAAGATGCTGTGGACCAATGAAACCCAGGACGTTCTTCTCGGGTACAACAGCGCTAACGGCGTTAACTTCGAAAACATCCGGCTGGCAGATCCGTACAGACCCGACCAAGTCAACGGGAACACGGGGCTGAAAGGACGATGGGTGTTTAAGTTGGAGAGCGATGCCACACGGAAAACGAACTACAAGAAGCTGTGTCGTGACTGGTACAAGACAGAGCCAGACCCTTCAGAGTGGATTGTAGGAGAAGGCATGTGTCCTTGCACGCTGCTTCAGGCACTGAGGGACCTACGCTTCGCCCCTGTTACATTGACATTGTCACCCTTTGACATCTGGTCACTACTTCTAGTGAATCAAGGTACATAGCATTTTCTTTTTACATTTTACATTCAGCACCGCTTAAAAGAAGAAAAACATAGCATACCAGACTCTCAGACTTTAGGCACAGATTTCGTAATGAGTACTATATGCTATTGTCAAATTAAACGTATTTGTTTGATGTTTTGCATAACACAGTCGAAAATATATTGTATAGAATGGAAAATTTACACGGTATATAAGTATATGTTGTGTGAGGACTTTTAGATTATATTGATATCCCTACCTACAAGAAGCGGCAATTAGTGGTTAGAGTCTCTAGACCAATGAGAGTTGACCGTCGAATATTTGAATTTTTATGTTAAAAATTTTCCATTTCTTCGTTATCGCGGAGTATGGTATCTACATGTTTTGTGTATTATCTGTTTGATATATGAAGGCCATTATGCATCTTCATGATAACTTGCTTTCATGTTTAGATCTAGAAGTTTGCTTCAGTCCTCTGTTTGCCAGCCCGACTGGTTCCAGTGTAGACTGTTGTTACAAGTTCCTGGCCCTGAACGCTGAGATACCCCTGGCTGGAAGTCATCACAGATATCAACGGTTCTCCCAACTTCACACTGGTAATTATATTATAAACATTTTGTTGGACTAAACTCTAATTACGGTACGATAAAATAAATAATTTGCTTCTTAGTTGCATCAGCCAGATTCTATCAAATTTCATATATGAATCCATGACAACACTGGTGCACAAACAGAAGAACGACACCACGAGTTCTAACTAAGGAAAGGTAAAAGTTGACACCTTTCACATCGGGACCATTGTGAATGTATAAATCATGTGGGCATTTTGAGTCACAAAAATTCCTTTAGCAATGTTCCCATCAACGCCGGACAAATTTAGATCACATTGGCCCATGTACCCAGCCTAAACTCATTCATACCTATTTCCTGTTTTTAAGTGAATTCAATTGAATTGAGAATATACATTGGCTTGAAAATAATCCTTTTTTTTCAGACTTTGACGTGAATCCCAAGTCCTGGTGCTGTAGCCTGTCTGACGATGAAGACTTCTGTAACCTGTACTATGAAAAGAGGCCTCCAAACAGCTGTTCTTCCTACAGGCCACCACGTCTAGGTACGCCTTACAGGAGCAATTGTATTTTTAAAAATCAGTTTTATGATGGTGTAGTGTAACTAATATTTAAACAATCAGCACAATTGATATTTCTTTATCATAAATCTGTTCTGTTTTCAAGAACGTTTCATATATTAATTGTCAATTGTCAATATATTGTCAACTTTGAATCCATACACAATTAGACATAATTTTTTCTCTGCTCCTGCTTATGTGGTATTGTTATAATTATTATTATTATCTTTGTTTCACAAGGAAGGGCTGCAGACAGGAATTTACATAATATTTTAGCACGTAAACCAGGTAATGTTAATGTATGACCGTTGCCTTTTTTAGCTATAACGTGGGGAGATCCTCACATGAAGACACTAGACGGTCTCGCCTACACGTTTAACGGGTTAGGAGAGTTCACCCTTGTCAAGACGAGTGGGGCCAGTGTTGAGTTCAGGCTGCAGGGGCGCACAGAGAAAGCCATCGCCAACGGTACCCAGGAAGTGGCTGAGGCTACAGTCTTCACGGCATTCGCATCAAAGCAAGATGGCTCCTCGACGGTAACTCCTATACTTGTTCATACTGGTTCACCAAGGACCCGGTCTATTACGTAGTATGATCGGTATAAAACTGAAAGCATTCTTGTTATGGTCATGCTGCCTTGTTGCGAAAAGTCTGTCTTAGATTGTTTTTGGTGTTTCTTTTGGTGAAAACATTGAGCATGTACGCAACAATTCTTTGTAAATGTTGAAACGCTAACGACACGGAAATAAAGTCTCATTCATTCATTCATTCATTCAACCATTCATTCATTCATACACAGTTTTAATCTTCGTTTCATCGTTCATGAATATTTACTGACTATTCTTTTTTCACTTAGGTTGAAATGGGTATGAACAAAGACCGGACAAATATGACACTAATGGTGGATAAACGGCCCATCAACATCACTGACCTACAGCAGAACGGTAAAGTGTGAGGATGGATGTATTAGAATTAGATTGGAAAGAAAAGTAGTCCATTTGTCATTAAGCCAATGACATGTTTGGTTGTTCTTACAATTGCTATGTTTTTAATTCACATTTTAATTGAAAATGGTACAATTTGAAAAGTTTTTGTAAAATTGCTCCCCTAAAGATCATAAAAAGGAAAACAATTACCTTGGAAAGGAACAAAGTTCCAAACACATTAGAAATGCAAGATGGATAATGGAAACCATCCACGAAACCTAATCAGATGTTTAATGACAACCTGTAACAATTTCTGTGTTTCATGCAGGTGCGCAGCGTTTCGCCAATCTGACTATTCAGTACAATTTCAACTCGAACCAGACCAGTGTGGTCGCCTCCTTCTCTTCGGGAATAACAGTGACCGTCACGCTCCAGAAACTCATGCTGAATGTTCAGTTCGGGGCGCCGGATTTTTTCGAGAACACTACCCGAGGCATGCTGGGTAAGTTGGTTACTTTCTGATAAACAAAATTAACAAAAAATTATATAGCAAGGACCTATTTAGAAGGATATGAAATTATTATCATATGAATAGAATTCATAACAAACAGACAAAATATTTCTGCATGTGTTTTAATAAAAAAATGTAAAATGATAACTTCGGTCCAGCAAATGACAAAAGGAGAGGTCATTTTTTTCCCTACAAGTTACAAGTAGAAAACAAGCTAGCTAATTAATGTAGGGCTCAATAAATCGCATTGTACAGTTAGTTATGTCTATTACATTACATCCACAGGTGTCTGGAACGACAACATTTTGGACGACTTCACCTATCCTAACGGCACGGTACTGCAGGCACCAGAGGACAGAAATCTAACAGAGGAAGAAATCTTCCCGTGGGGATTATCATGTAGGAAACACGACATTTATTATGTTTACATTTTTCTCTAGACAATTGTATACTTATTGTTTACTTATTCGAACAGAATTGTGTAGATATTCGATGTGTTGACAAATGTTATTTTTGTGTAATAATTTGCCATACAGTCCCATCATTATTTATTTATATCTTAAAACAAGAAGAACATTAATGCATTATTTTTTTTGTAGGGCAAATCAGACAAGACGAAAGTCTATTCACCTACGAGGATGGGCAAAACGCAGCTTCCTTTGCCAAACCAGATTTCAGGCCAAAGTTTCTCAACCAACTACTAGCAGCTGTCTCCCCCGATAAACGAAGCGAGGCTGATGTTCTGTGTGGCACAAATGTAGAATGTCTCTTTGACTTTCTCAGCACAAACGACGCAGAAGTGGGAGAACAAACCAGATCAAGTATTGTGACTTTTGATTCAGACGCAGAGACACTGGGTTAGTTTACGGCGCACTTTTCAAAGATTCTGTTATTTTTTTTACAATTTTATCGTGGACTTCTTCAAGTTTATTGCATGCAAAGGCATGTATTACATTTTAGTTGCACTGTAAAACAAAACCAACATAATTCGTACGGATATAGAAATACGAATGACAGAAATCCTTGAAGACACCGTGTTCACTACGACATAATCATGGTATTTCTTTCTTGCAGCCAACTTTCCACCTAACATCACAACCAACGCCACAGTCAATGGAATAGTTGGACAGCAGGTGGAACTACAGGTCATTGCTGTTGACCCTGAGGACAATCCTTTGCAATATTCCATTGGCAACGTCAACAACATTCCTGGGGCAACCATCAACCCCGGTATGTATGTTGTCCGATGTGTGGTAACTTTTTTTTTTTCATTCAGTCGCTCTCTGACATTTTCGTGAAGATCCGTCAAACTATCTGAACGCTTTTATGTCATTATGAAGCATTCCTTTGTATTTTCTTTTCCTCAAAACCACATCTGTGTTACCGTATTACAAAGTAGTACTTCCGTGTACAGAAGAACTGTTTTTATGTCAGGAATACAATAGGTTGACAGCATTTTGGGCGAGTGTAAGATTGACAGGCAGGATAAAAGCAGGTTAAAAGTTAAGGCACAGGAAATGACTGTGTCCAGGAGGTGGCAGAAAGGTAGCAAGCTTAGGATTTTATTAGGGGGCCTCTAAAAATCCGATTCTATTTTTTTAGTTAACGGTATCCTTAGATGGACTCCCAGAAGCCTACAACCAGTGCAACTAGAGATTATTGCCCAAGACAACAAAGGAGCCTCTTCGTCGACCTACCCCATGGTGAAACTCTGCAACTGTGAACACGGTGGAATCTGCAACTTTGTCACTAGGGACTTCACTGGAGAGATCAACCCTGTGGGACAGTTCCAGGTCTGTCTTGAATTAAGTTTAACACGTCAAGACATTATTGATATTGTTCAAATGATCCTTTACCTTTGTACTATTTCAGAGCAGAATCTTTACTTTTTATTTTTTTTTAATATTTAACCTACCAACAAAAAATATTATAGTTATATAGAATTTGCAGCCAGACGGCTTCTTCAAAGAGGAATGATATTTTAAAAGTTGACCTTTCTATGCAAGTGCAAAGTTGACTCTTTTTCATTTGATGCATACCTCCACATCTGTACATCGGGTTAGTACGTGCTCCGTGTTATCAACGTTTTACCCGCATGATGCATTAAGCACGCTCTCTTTGATTCAGTTGAATACATCTCATGTATTCATGTAAAAAAAAATTGATATTTGAACAGTGACTATAAATGGAACATGTTTATGTTTATTGATTTCGTAGCAGATTACGATTTAACCCTACCTAGACCGGGCTTTTTTTGACATGGGGGGACCGGGGGGGGGGCG